ACGGAGATCTTGTGGCGGGGGTAGCTTGGTCTGGACCTAGGGCAGAGCCGTGATCTGCCACCTGCATGCTCTGGGCAGGGGCACACAAGCAGCAGATAGCAGCTCTGACCCAGCTCCTTGCAGTGGTGACGGACTGGTCCTGAGCCAGGGAAGAGCTGTGATCCACTATCTGCATACTCCTGGCCCAGAGCGTGCAGGCTGCAGATCGTGGCTCTGCCCTGGCCCCAGAACAAGCTGCCCTCACCACTCTGGAGCAGAGCCCTGCCCTGTCTTTCCATGCTCTCTGCCAATGTGGCTGGGGCCAGTCTCCATGGCAACTCCAGCCTTGGGCTATCACAGTGCAGTGGCTGGGGTCTCTGTGGCGACCAGCCCCAGCCATGTGGGCAGGGGCTGCTGGGAAATGGAATCTGGCTGCAGGCTGGATTCATCATTTTGCCCACCCTTGCTCTAGCTTATATCCTCTTTCTACAGATAATTGTCAGCTCTGGGTAAAAAGACAGATTTTTTAGGGTGGTGGTGTTTACGGGTGTGTGAGATGTGCACAACTCCATGTGTGAATTCCAGGGTGTGCGAGATGTGCACAACTCATATTGCAACAGATCTAGTGCAGTCACAATAGATAATAATGTCACTAGATTTAACCTCAAGCTACTCCTATTTTGACATCTGCATGGGAGAACTATAGAAAAGCTCCGTGTGTATTTATTTATTATTGTTCCTTTGTCCTATTCTTTAATGGTCTGTTAAGCCAGTTGCCCTAGGAAGATTCCAAAATTTTATTTTATTCACACCACGTTTAGAAATGCGACATTTAGTTATGAATTGCTCACCTTGATTCTTCAGATTCTGTTTCATCAAAAGACCTGCAATAGAGAGGCACACAAACTGGGTTAGGTTGACCTGGGTTTGGTTAAAACACAATTAAAACAATCCCATAAATGAGAAATCTGTTAATAACAGCTGTGAAAGGGCGACCCTTTTTTCTGGTCAGTGGCTGTGAAATGCAAGGCAATGATTATGGAAGAAGCCAGGATTTTACAGTGACCATAGCCTGTAAGTGACAACATCCACTTCACTGTAATAGATTCGCATGCATAAATATTTGGAAGTGACGGGGTACAATTCCCCAGAGGGATATTGGGTGACATCATCACCTACAAGACAGTAAAGTCAAGCAGCTTGTCCCTAAATCATTAAAGGTGGCATATTTATATTTGGGTTTTTTTGGACCGTAAGATTAGAGCATTCATATACCTATTGACAGTAACATGACTGATATCTCTACCCTGACTCTAAGTGGTGTATATTTTATGTGATATAAGTAAGTTCAAAACCATGATATAAGTGTGTTAAAGAAATATTGAATACATGGAATATGAGCAAAGATTTGCAATTCAAAACTCCCCCTACATTTTGGAATTACCATGATAAGATTTTGTAAAAAAGGTCAGGGTTCAGATCATGAGATTTATGGAAACACCCTTATTGGGGAATAGAAAATTGCTTTGCATCTCCTTGTGTAGAATTTCCTTTCCATTTTTCTGTTATGGGATGGGGGAAGAGTGTACTCCTTTCTGGATGTAAGCAAGGACATGATCCACACGCCCTGTCCAAAATCTCTGGTTCCACCATAGGTCTGGGCAGCTCTGAACCAGGGGTGGGCAATTATTTTGCACCAAGGGCCGCTTACTAAGTTTTGTCAAGCCATCAAGGGCCACAGGACAGGCAGCCAGGGGCAGGTAAATATTAATCTTCTAAATCTTTTAGGGGCCTCATGGGCCAGATAGGATGACCTGGCGGCCACATCTGGCCCGCGGGCTGCATCTTGCCCACCCCTGCTCTGAACTCACTAGTAACAGCATAGTAGTGTTGGACACTTTCTTGACCAGAGCTAGGTTTTAAAAGTGAAACATTCAGCCCCATGCTAACCCCTTTATACTAGATAAAAGGGGCCATGAAGGAGTAAAGGTCCTCCAAGAGCCCTGGATCCAGCCAAGGAGCGACTGTCCTGGTGCAGGAACTGTGGAATATAGACAAAAGTCCATCTTCTGAGACACTCAACCCCCTCCAGTTGAGCCCTGACATACCACGGAAAGGGCTGTAGAGGCAGGAGAGGAGCGTTCAGAAGCTGAGGCCTGCACAAATTCCTGTGGGCAGCCAGACGA